TGAAAATGGCAGGATATTAGGTGCTACATGCCATTCTACAGGTTTTGTGGCCCCAAAATCAAGATTTTGTCAAATAAAAGTAGCCTTTTATTTTGTTTCCTCTACAATTTTTCCAGTTTTAACCCTCAACAATCTAAAATAAGTTCATCAGAAGGTGAAAATTGTCTAGCTTTCCTTCGGGAAATAGATTTCAAAGCCATATTGATGAGATTGTATTTGAGGTTTGGCTCTCCAATGTGGTTCTGTTTTCCCTTACCTACCATGAGTGGGCATCTCCATATCTCACATTCAAAGACAAAAAGATCTACAAAGAACTGTCCACCATTTTACCAGGTTGCAAGACCAGAAAGTAGGCTTGCTTTGTTGATTTGACTTGCAAAAGATGTGCCATCTTGAAGCTTTTTTTTTTCTTTTCTCATGATTTTAGTAATGGAACAATAGAAACCTGATATCACCAGAAAGGAGTAGAGAGATGTGCAAAGAACTGAGCTAAGAGCTAGCTAAAGCCAAAAACAAAATGGAACAACCTGTAGTAATAGGGCCTCTATATACTAACAATATCTCTCCATTACGATCCCTAAAGACCCTCCAGTTCTAGAGACTTCTGAATTTCCAAGGCAGCAACCATCAAAATTGAATTTAATGAAGATCAGTTGAGGGGTTATCAAAGATTTCTTGGATTATTATTCTTCTAATGTGGAGTGAACCCACTTATTTCCATCTTCTAATGCTGTCAAGTGTCATCTTCTCTAATGTCTCTGAATTGATCCCTGGCTTGTAGCCAATAAACCACTCTTACCATTTTCAAGTCGACTAATCCATTCTCCACTTGTCACTTATCAGTAAAGATTTCTGTATTCTTTCTTCCTGTATTGACCAGAAAATAGTAGCTCTACAAAATCTCAGGAAATAACTGATTATTACTTTATGTGCTGGAGAAGGATCTAAAGAAACTTTTTTTTTTTTGATAAATAAGGATCTAAAGAATTTCAGACATCATAATTTGCTTCACTTACCTAATGGATTTTTATGATATAGCAAGAATGGTACTTAGGAGCTAAGGGGAAAAAGGAGCATAAAAGTCAACTTTTTAATCTAGTCAGTAGGCTTCCCTAAAGATTCCCTAAGACTGTGCTTGGTTTGAAGGAAAAAGTAGGGAAAGGAAGGGAAAGGCAGGAAAATCTATACAAGGCTTGTAAAGGTTTCCCTACATTTCCCTTCCTTTCCCTACCTTTTCCTTCAAACCAAACATAGCCTAAAGGTAATTAACCAATTGTCTGTATTTAAAACCTCATGAGAAACTTACAAGTACTGGAAAGATAATAGTCAAATATATACAAGGTTCAAGGTACCAAAAATGCAAGGTGTATCGGAAAGGCAATTTTAAGAGAAATATCAGGATATGCTTTGGATACACACAGCTACACTATGAAAACTCAAATAAATCATAAGCCTATAAGTTGAAAAATTGTTCATCAAACTTGTAATCTCAAGTTTTTAACTCTAAATCTCAAATCTACTATAAACTCTACATGAAATACTAAAATGAAATAATAAATTAAGTTTAGTGTTGACCACTAATATTAATATTTAAGTGGTTACATGTTTCATCCATAAGAAATAATGGTGATCAATTAATATAAAATGTTTTACATAAAATCATATAAACCAAAATAAAAAATTAATATAAAAAATATTACAATGCATTTCCATGCATTCCACATATCATAACCTTGTTGGAACGACACGTATCGTATGATATGCCCCAATAGGTTGCAAAACCTTAAACCTTGGGTATATAGACATACAATTAGGATGTAACCAAAGGACAATTACATGGGTCTCATTGGAAAAGTAATAAAATGCAAGAGTAAATATACATAGATTTAGAAGATAAGTATTTTTCCAATTCCATTGAATATCCATATAACTTAGACACAACACTAATTTCAAGATCTCTATAACTACACAAGGTCTGAATACTATGACAATAAAAACAAAATGTATAGAGATACCACTGAATTCTGCCTACAGATTAAGTTGCACAGAGATAAGTAAGGATTTCAAAGCAGGTAAAAATCTGACTATGTGCTGACCCATGAATTCAATATACCATGCAAACATACCATTGACCTAGATTTTGTGTCAAATGAGGGTTTCTTTATGGCAACTTCTATGATGCCAAAAGGGTATGATAGCAGATGAACTTTGACTAATGAGAACTCCCTGTAAATTTTGATGAATACCAGTTTATTGGTTATCAGTTTTCTTTAGGTATCATGCCTTTTCTTTATCATAATTGGAATATTCTTTATACTCACAACTACGTTTGGGCCTTCATTTATTAAAAAAAAAAAAACTATTTTTGGGCCTTCGAGGGTATCTCTCCCTCTTACCGTTTTTATTTTTCCATTTATCAAAAAAAAAAAGAAATATTAGCAAAAAGAAAAACAAAAACGTTAGACAATTCTTCCCACAAGGAAGTTTATTTAGTTTTGAAACTTGGAACAAAATCCAGGATGAGCAGACTTCCAACTCAAAGAACATTCAGATGGGGTTTCTTCATCCAATCATAATACCAGAGTAATGCGAACTACAAGCAAATGGTAATGTTGAACGTTAAGCCTTCAACAGATTATTTCTTAAGATGTCAAATATAGTTATCAACAGATAGTAACATCAGATAAGCTTCAAATCACATGGATAACACTATCTTACTACAGCTACATTAAAAAGTTGAAATTCATCCATAAACATGTTCACCCATCTCACGCATTCAATGACAAAAATACACCCAGATAAGATTTCCTCCAGAACGGTCATTTCACACTGGAGGTTACAAGAAATTAAATCTTCGAAAAAAAAAACTTCAGACATAATAAAATGAACCCAAAGCAATCTAGAAAAAAAAAGTACTGGATAAGAAAAGACATACCCCGGGCTCGGATTCTTCGGTACAGAGAAATGATTTTACGGAACGCCTGGGAACAAGAAGAGGTTTAGACATTTGAAACCCTACATTGGTTATGCTGCAGAGACGAGATTGGCGAGGGTGTTGAATGATGCTTTGAAGGGTAAGGGCTTTGAATTCTAGGGTTTTAGAGGGCTTTCTAGACGCATACAAGCGAGGGACGGAGGAGAGAGAATGACTGGACAAAGCAGCAGCTGCTGCCATTTGAAGATTTAACGGTCGACAGTTAACACTCTCAACTCAGGTCTCTCCGACCGCTAAAACCTCGGTGAAGGGAGGAGACCAGCACCAGCGAGAGAGAGAGAGGTCTCGGATACAGTGTCTAGTGTCCAATTTACCCTCAAATCTTATCTAGAACACCAATTTTGTCCCCCCGCAGATAAGAGCCCGTTTGGAGGCTTCACACGTTGACTGAGCGGCTGAGCCTGAGCCCGTAGGGTACGGGGCTACAGGTGCTAAGGATGATCCGATACGAAATCCAACCCTATTTTGCCGTATTCGGATATTTCCCTGGTCCATTTTTTATTGGATCGGATCGGATAATAGGATCTATATGGAATTCGGATCACCCCTATCCAATCCAATCATTTATATATTTATAAATATGTTTTATTTGCAATTTTGTAACTTGTATATTATTTATATTTTATAAAAAATATTTATATATATGATGAAAATAGTTGAAAAAATACTTACATTTTTTGTTTTTCTTTATATAAATTGTTATATATATTTTTTCTTTTTAATAATTTATTAAAACTTTTGGAAATTAAATTGGATCAAAATAGATTTGAATATCCGACACCCTTAACAGATTCGGATTTGAATCGATATTTGTGATATCCAATTGGATCTAATCTACCATTTTGTTTTATCAAATCTGATCTAGATATACCCCCGATTCAAATTCGATCCAATCTGTTTGCACCTCTACCGAGTCAAATCTGGATCACATACACACAAGAACTCTGCACACGCCTACCCACAATACACTACCCCCCGTGAATTAGGAACATCTCCCCCTGCATAATACTATGCAGAGGATGAGATGTTCTCCATATGTGGCTCCGATAAACATGGGCGGGAGATCCGGAGCCGCGTCAAAGAAACTACAAAATTCGGATATTTCTGTTAGTTGTTGCGTATTCTAAAATTCTCTGTTCCAAAATGAGAAATTTGATATGGCTACATATCTTCTAATTGCTAATAAATGCACTTGTTTCATTCCTAACCAGCACTTGGTATTCTGTGAGCTCAAATTGGGAGAGGAATTGGATATCATTCCAAATCATAGTTTAAGGCAACAATGAGTTTTGTTTGTCGTTATTTTCCTCTAAGACAATTTTCTTTTTAATTTGGTCTCTCCATGCCAAAGAATCTAATAAATCGATTAGTTACAACAAATAACTTTGGTTTTGATTAGGGTGTAAAAGGAAATTCATCACAACTCAATCTTGGTGACAGTTTTTTTAGGGAAAATTCCTGATCAGTACTCTATATTTTGGCTTAAGTGACAATTTGGTCCCCGAACTTAAAAATGCAACAGTTCAGTATCCAAACTTTTAAAACGTGACAATCAAGTACTTGTTGTTAACAGACCGCCAACTAGCGCATAAAAAGAAGTAAATACCCATCTCATTTTTGATAGCTGAGTTTGATTCATTTTTGAAATTACTAAAACAACCTCCACTACAATAACCTTTCTCTATGAGTGGGAACCACTATTCATTGCTCTAACATTCCAAAGAGATCAATTCTCTCCACCGGTGTTGATAAGTGGAATACACTGCTAAAATCAACGGGAAAAACATCATCATACAAAGATATTCACCATTGTATTGGGAAAATATGGCTAGAACAGAGCGTATTTGTTGCCATTAGAAATGTTTTTAATCTCATTGTCATCGGAGAAGACAAACGCTTGTTACTGGTGTCAGAGAAGGCAAACAAGGTTTTTTTTTTTGTTATTTTGTTTATTTTGTTTCTATCCATTTTCTATGTAGTATAGCAAAATTCTTTGGTTAGTTTGAATACTTGAAAAGACAATTCTTTGTTGGCATTTGAAGAGAAAGGGCTTCCGTGGGCTTTAGGTCAAACCAATTCAAGAAATATTAGCAGATCAAAAGCAAGAAAATGGTGCAGAGGAGGACTTCTTCCGAATTGGCAGAAAGCAAATTGAAGAGCGTGTTGAGAGGTTTGTTGTTCGAGTCCAAGCCATGTTCCGATCAAAGCAAACACAACAAGAATATAGGAGGATGAAGATGGCCTATAATCAAGCAGTGGTAAATAGTTTTCTACTAAAAACCCTAAAGTTGCAATTTAGGTATGTAGGCCAGATAACTAACTAAACAGTAGTTTGTGCGGCTAGAATATGAAGGTCTTCCTGATCTCGAAGTTGAAAACCAAAGATGAAGGAACAGGAGTTGCTCCAAGAATACGAAGGTCCTCCCTCGTTGGTCAACAATGAAGGAGGACAGGGAGTGATGGCAAGAACTTACCAACATTATCACAAAGTAGCTACAAATGGAGATCGGAGATCCTCCTTCGCTGGTCTTCAAACCTAGGGCTAAAGATGAAAGAGCCTTTTTACCTTCTTTTATTTGTTTAAATATAAAGGATAAAATGGTCTGAAAATTATCGACAAGAGTAATTTTGTCATTTTTTAATTATTTAATCCGCATATGGCGTCACGTGATGGCACTAATTGACGGTCTGTTAATGGCAAGTACCAGATTGTCACATTTCGAAAGTTTGGATATTAGGTTGTCGCATTTTAAAGTTTAGGACCAAATTGTCACGTGAGACAAAGTGCAGGGTAGTGATCTATTTATTTATGAGCAAATAAAAACCATTAAGCAGTAGAAGGTACTAATACAGAGTGAAAGATCTTCACCATTACAGGCTTAGAGATACTTAATGAGCAACTCTGTTACAGCCCCTACTAATATCAAAAGACATACACAACCATATTTCATCCAGAATGTCGCTAAGTCCCCAACAAATATAGTTGAATCCGGTCCATTGACAGCCAACATAGCTAGGAGAGAATCCATTCCAATTCTCACATTTCTATAACCCTCTACATTTTTGTTGGCAAAAACATTTATTTTTATTCATGAGAGAAAATCAGGGGAAACAAAGCCTTATAAGAGGCATAAAAGAAAGGACAATGCCATAAGTGATTTGGATCAGTGTAGGCAAAATTGGACGGTTCCTTATGTAAAATGCCTTATGATCCAATGAGCCATTATATTCTCTAGGGAAAATTCCTGATTAGTACTTTGTACTTTTGGTCTAGTGCCACTTTGGTCTGTGAACTTTAAAATGTGACAACTTAGTGCCCAAACTTTCAAAACATGCCAATCCAATAACTATTGTTAACCAGTCGTTAAGTAACATTGGAAAAGACACAAATGCCCTTCAAGTGCCATCTAATTTTCTTTATCAACTATCTAATTCACATCAAACTCACTAGGGTATTCTATCAAATAGAGATAAAACAATGCTAAAGTAAAGAGAGAGAAACCAACTTAGGCAATCTAATCATCACCGAGTAGCATTTACCAGAACAGGTGAAGGTGAATGGTACAGTCTAAGAACTAAAAGCATTAGTAGAAAAAGACTAAAGGGCCAAACATCCCCTCTTCTTTTTTATAAACAACAAGGGAATTTCTAACCTAGTGCATGGTTTTTAAAAACGAATTGGTGACCGAACCGGCCAGGGGTCCGGTTACCGGTTCGAGCGGTCCGACCATTCGACCCGAACGGTCAGCTTGTTTTGACGAAAAAAATTAAAAAATTGGAAAATGGTCAAAACCATTCAAAAGGTTTGAATAGTTAACCAGCCAGTTCAGCAATTTGCTGACCAAAATCAACGGGTTTGGAGGAAAACGGACCGGTTCCCAATTTTTCCGGTCCGGTCCGGTCCGGTTTTGAAAATAGTGACCTAGTGTGTGGTATTGCTTGGGACCTGGGAGGTTTATTGCTACAAGTAAATGGAGAAATAATAGTTATATTCAATCAACAATCTAGGAAGCATCTTCTCTCTTCCTTTCATATGAAACTTCAATGCTTGATACCTAAACCTACAATGAAGAGAGAAATCCAATTCTCCTTGTGGGTGTGCTCCTTTGGTCGAGCAACACACAAATGTAACATGAGTTCACGATTTGGGGGTAAAAGGATTGAGGATGCAACTAAGACGTTGGTTCAATAAAGAATGAAATAGAGGTAATGGGGTGAAAGAGATAAGGAAAGAAAAAATTATATTGAAACAATGGAGCTAGAGGAGAGAAAGAGAGGACGGAAACAATGAGAGAAGAAGGAAACATTGGAAAGGAACTGAGTGCAAGGAGCTAGCACCTTTGGTTTAGGGTTGAAGGGCGAAAGAGGGGATCAAAGTTGATGACCAAGTTGTCTGAGAGATGGAGGGAGAAGGGGAAGATGACGAAAGATAGAGAATAAGTGATGGAAATGGGTAAAAACCAGTGAGAGTTGTCGAAGAGCAAGCATATGCTGATCGGGAATAACCATAATTCCGTCAATAGTAGTAACCCTCTCTCTTTCTGAACCCACATCCCAAAACACCTCAAAAACAACAAATGAAAATCTTACCAACATTCAATAGAGAGAGATGCACCGAACCAACCTGCTTTACAGAATCAGCAATTTTAGGCCCAATACTGTCACCAGGAAATAGAGTTGCTTAGATCAACACAGTTAAAATCTGATCAACTGAACAGCTATGAAGAACATGTCTAAGGATTTGAGACGCATTTGGGAAAGAACTTGGGTAGAAAACTAGATGAGATTAGATCTCTGTTTCATTTTCTAGAGAAAGAGGATGATGAATAATGTTTTACTTTTAAGGACAATTTTGACATTTTAAAAAGTGTTAAGTTGAACATGATGTCATGTGATACAAATAACTGGGCTGATTAACAGTAGGTAATAAATTGATACATTTTGAAAGTTTGAGTACTAAAATATTGTGTTTTAAAGTTCGGAGAGAAAAATAACACTAGATCCAAAGTACAAGGTACTAATCGAGAAATTTCCTTATTCTCTAATGGAGGAATAAATTAAATCCTATCACTACTCAAGGAGAATGTTGTTGAATGGCGGGCCATCTTGCAATACAAACTAGAAATAATTTGTGTGTGTGTGAGAGATGAGTTGGAGATGGAGATGGAGGAATGAAGAAAGGGTTTGAGAGTTTAGGCGGTATATCAAAATATCAAACGCATTTGATATGTGTTTGTTTAGTCCAGAGACTGACTAACGTAACGTCTGGACACCCTTAAGTACTGGCTTAGGGACGTGGGTCGTTTCTAATTGGACGGTCCAGAAAGTTAGGATGCGAGCTCCTCCTGGATAACCTTTGCTTAATTATTACTGTGCATCCTCCATTAATTCCCTGGAATTTAAAGAGGATAAAAGGCTACCACTATCTAAAAAGTGTCACCCCTTGACCATCAAATCATTCACAGCGTCACAGGAGGTGATCAAACGCCACTTTAGATTTGCTGGAATAGACAGTTTTCATGCTTTTCCTTACAGATAATCTAAGCCAGTGATAGAGGTTGGGTACCGGCCCCAATTCTCGTGTTAGATATACGTGGATACGTGATAATAATGCATAGGCTTTCTTTTTATGCCAGTGCATATTACCTAGCACCTGGCTTTTGGGCACCAGTTAAAATAATGGTTTCTTTGAACTTGACCCCACTGTACTCACAGAAGAAGAATGGGGCCTGGTAGCCATCCTTTTCACCATCTTTTTATGTATAATCCCTACTTTTTCCCATCTGGTGGATTTTTGTCTTGTTGAACCGCATTGTGATAAAACTTTCTTTTTGAATATGTTCATTCTTCCCGGTCTGCTATATCCGTATATGGTTTTTATAACCACGAAAGCGCTCTTGGCATTAACGCCACTATTATTTTCTTTCAGTCTCCCCGCCGGCCGCCGGGCCATTCAAGAGAATAATTAACCTTTCCCAGATCTGGATCCTTGCTAGCCCTTTGTTATGGCCGAAGCAATACTTCTCTGAGCGAGTTTCTGTTTTTTTCTCTTACCTTTGATCCCCCATAGGGTTCTGCAGCAGTAAACTAGAGCACAGCTAAGACATAAAAACAAACAATTAAAAGACAGTAACAAAACGGCCAAAACCAGCTTAAAGCTAAGGGAGAGAAAATAGGAACTAAGACTAAACACAAGACCAACTTAGTAAAAGAACTTTAAGAGAAGGCAGGAGCAGGGAATAACGCAGATCGGCAGGTGGAGAAGACTACCGGACGAAGAATATTGTCACGAATCCACTGTGTTCTCCATCGTACCACAACTACATCCTAAGATTTAAGCAAGCTCATAGATGTTCAAATATGGGAAATCCTTTAAACAGCCATTGCCTTGTTATTCCAAAACTTCAAGTTCTGTAGCCCTTTTTTTCAACTAAAGATTTAGGGATTATTCTCAGTCCATCCAATTGGTTTCATAGAGTATAGACCTTGCCAAGTTCAATTGCTTGGATTTTGATTCAGTTTTAGATGGTAATGCCATAATAAAAAGTGATGATCAAATACACCCTATCATATTTATCATTACAAGTTTATTAATCATCTAAATTAAGATCAGGTCATTGAAGTCATTCTGTTTACTTCGGCATTTGAGGAACCTCTCAACCAGACTTTGGATTTGAATATGCATTTTCACTTGTCCTTGATAAATTCTGTGGCTACTTGCGAGAAAATGTGTATATCTGATGAAATGTGATGCCACTGGTGGAGAGACTAAAGACAGACCAAACCTAATATGGAAAAGATATGTACTTGTAGGGGTTGCAAACTCTTCTAGGAACCATAGATATATTGTAAAAATCGCTTGAATATACAAGGTCAATTCAACTAATCTTTGAGGCCAATCCATTGACTCAAACATGTTTTAGTCGGTATATTAAATTCATCAAAGTAACCTTTGTAAAAGGAAAAACCATTTTGTTGCTAACATGAAAATACAGGAAAAGCATCCTAAGACACAGCAACGAAAATGGATAGCATTCAGCCCCATTAGACAAATTATGATCTTTCTAGATCCTGAACATACACAGTTGCTAAATGGCAGAAACATACAGATGAGATTCTACCAAGTGACTAAATACTAAAAGATAATAATAAAAATGCCAAGTCCCTGTCAATGGCTAACCAATTGACTTGATATCACTTAATTAAAGTAAAGAAAACTACAAGGCTTCTTTCTACATGACCACAAAGTTAGACTAAATAGTCAAACTTGACAGCTAAAGCTACCTTGTGTGGCCACGTTATTACTGCAACAGTCAGATAAGAAGTCAGCTTCCTGCCTCTCCTAGAAAGACCTACAAAAATTGAAAAAAGTTATTGAGAGACATTAAACACAATGAGATTGAAAAAGTAAATCAATAACATTATTTCATCACATTTTAAATATAAGTGCAATATATCCTTGGCCTCCAATAAGCAAAAAGAAACAATGTTAACTTAAAGTCTAGGATGGCAAGTAAAGTTCAATTGATATTTTTTTTTCAATGATTGGAGGAAAAAAAAATATAACAAGAAACATTTTTAAGAAAATAATGTATGTTATTGATAGTACACGCATAAATGGTTTGATAAGGATGGGGCATCCCATCAAGCATATAACAAAAAATCTTGGAATTCCTTAGGAATTTTTGTTTGGTACTGAACTAACTACAACACAAAGTTGCATCTTTTTGGTTAATAAGATAAAAAAGGTAAAGAAAAACATATTTCCATTTTTCTAATCAATAAAAACAATTTCAATTTTACCAATTTCCTTTGTGAGTAAGGTAATCAAGGAATTTATTAAATAACATAATCTCCTATGTTCTACCATGGATCTAGTCTTCAACATAGTTTATACATTTTGGGCAATTATATACAGTAGAGTGTCCAAACAACATATTGACTACTTGGTCAAAGACAAGTGACTCGTAGCTAATTAGTGATCTAACCATCAATTGAGCAACAAGTTGAAAGGTATTTTTTTTCTGATAAATAGTTTGTTGAAAGTCATATTGATCAAGTTAGTGAGCTCAACATCAATTGAGCAGTTGTATAGGTATTCTGGTATCATAGGCTAACAGTATTGAATATCCAAGTAATATTCTAGAAACCCCAGGGTGTTAATTCTGCTGCATGTGTGACAAGTTGTTATGGTTATGACAAGAAATAATACTTTCAAAACTTAGGACTGAATATCATCCCATATATACAATCCAAATAAAAGCAAGAAAGAAAGGGCACACTACTTCAGTGTCTCTCCTGTCTTGTAGAAGTGGCGTTGCTCAACAAGTTTTCTTATCTCCTTTCTGGATAGGGAGATATAGCTCTTTCTGTATTCTTCCATCTTTTTTTTTATGATTTCTTCTACCTTCTTACTTCATTAATGCGTCCTTTTAGTACAAGGACTAAACAAAGAAACAAAGATAGCCTGGCAAATAATAAATTGTATATAAGAATCCATGAAACAAATCACAAATCCTAGTTTTGTACAGGTTAGATAAATTGAAAACTACTCAAGGACTATCACCATACTTCAACTGTTTTCTTTTTTTTTTCTGTTTTTTTTTTTGGTGCAAAGCAACTTGTGAATTTGTAGCAAACTCCACATCAGCTAGTCAACCATACAATTATCTAACAAATTTAACACTTCCTCACCATAAGTACAATAATAAGAATTTTAACCCATACCTGTACACTTCCATCTCCATTACACCAAAGCAACTACCATCATAAGGAACAAGCTTCCACTGCTGAGACTCCTTGATATTGAATGTCAACCCCATCATACAACTTGTTGTAAGGGTGAGATAAGGCAGGAACCAGTGGATTGGCCACAGCTTCAGTCACATTGTAGCCTTTACCACCATCATTTTCCATACACCCAATGTCATCAATCCCACTCTCAGAAGGCTGTTTTGTCTGGATGATTTTACCAAACAATTGGAATGAACTAACAGTAGCTTTTGTTGTTAAATTGCTGTTTCGGCTCCCAAAAGTTTCAGTACCAAAGAAATGCACACTGTTCTGGCTATGTGGTGATGAGTTGTCTGATTGTGATGAACTACCAATGCTCAATTCGGTGGAAATACAACTCAATTTTGGTGCCACATTGTTGCTACAGATATTCTCAGAACACAACACCTGATGGTTATTGCTCGATATGAAATTGGATAAATTGGGTACACAGATTGGATCATGCCTGGCTCCCTGCATGCCAGCAGGAAAAGTGTTACAATTAAACAATGATGGACTCAAGTTTCCCATCATTGAATTAAATCCTGTCATAGGATAGAACAGGGCTCCTCCATCAGTAAGCAACTCAGGATTCTGAGGAACCCTGAGCTTTTTTGTGGGGGGAAATGGGGTCTGAAGGGGTGGTGTGGCTGCAACCAGTTCAACTTGCCAGGGGCTCACTCTCTTGACATTCTGCAAAACTTCTGGCTCATCCCAGTTAACCTGAAATAAAAATCAAAAGATCGTGAAAATGACACAGTTCTTTCATGTATACCGGATGAGAAAATGCAAATAACAATGAACATAGTAAAAGAAACTGTTCAAAACTTCACTTCCACAGCTTTATAATTTATGGTAGATGAAGTAGATTCACAGAATATATTGGGTTTGTCCCCTAAAGAACAAAGCAGATCAATGTTGGATTTCTCCCATCAGTTAAAATTTCCAAATTCTTTTCCGAATTTGAGTGTATTTCCATTTTGCAATTTCTAGTTTGGATCTGTAAATGAACAAAAATTTGTCAATGCCATCAAACTACCCATAATATGTTTATGAATATCAATATGGTTGAGAAATATGAATTTAGCAACAATTTGTATGAGAGACCAAGTTAAAAATTGTTAATACAAATACATGAGTTTCCTCCTATTGCTTAAAAAAATTATATCAATTTTGCACTCATCTGTAAAACAGCATATGAGATCATGTGGCAGGAATAAGTAAACTATCCTGCAGAATTAACATCAACATTTAAACTGCAATATCTTCATATGAAAAAAAAAGAAAAAGTGGCTAAATGTGCTACAGAATGAAACACCAATCATCTTCCCTTTGGCCTAGAATGCTCTTTGCATCCTATGGTCAAGATCCAGCAGGTTCCCTACGAAACCAAACACAATATGTCCTTCAAACCCATTCACAACAATATTATTAGATCCTCTGAAATTTCGTTTGGCAATTTGTAGTCAGAGTTCTGGAAATTAATTGAATCGAAGTGCCACAACCACTCAATCAGATTACATAAGAACATTGAGCCATGGGGCTGAAACATTGGAACAGTCCAACCCTTAAATATTGGACAGGCTTGAACAAATTGCCTGCCGTTGGACTAGCATATGTTCCATTCTATAATCTATAACATATACTTCATATGAATTCATCACTCATAAGTTTGTTATACTTTTATTCAAGAAACATAATCTAGTTGGAACAAATCAAACCAAAATCATTAAGATAGTAGGTTGAATAACTGCAATGGTAAATATGATGTATAGTTCTTTGCATCATTACATACTAGATGTTGTAATTAGTGTAAATATGGCTGGTGCAGGCCAGGCCTCACCCACTCCAGGCTGATTGTTACCACTTTATAATAGTTTTGATGCGTATTAGATTACCACCCCACAATGTCAAGGCTCAACATGCCTAGGGATAATCGGATGACATAAGAACATTAAGTCTATCCTCTAGAAAATAATATACCAACTGAACTCAGCTAATAAAGAAGAATCACATGCAGGACAAAGAAAAAATTTGAAATATATGCTAAGAGATATAAATCACTCTGCCATATATAAGCCTTTCCCAACTATATGGGGTTGGCCCATGACATCTAATTTTTATAATAACCATCTGGTCCAAGGCTCAAGGCGGCCCAGGGACAGTAGATTACATAAGAACATTAAGTCTATGCTCTAGATAATGAGATACTCACTGAACTCAGTTAATAACGAAGAATCACATATGCATGGCAAAGAAACTTTTGAAATATATAGTAAGAAGATAATAAAGTACTCTGCCATATACTAAGCCTTGTCCCAACTATATGGGATCAGCTCGTTCATGACATCTATTTTTTTTATAATAATTATCAAAAAAAGAAGATGACCCAAATAATAAGGCAGTCCAAACAACACTACTGTTGAGTGCTGACATTGAATACTTTTTTTTTTCTATTTCATATCCATCACAAGATTTTTATTACAACAGAAAAACAGTTGCTGGCAAAGCACCATCAAGCTGAATAAACTACAATAACAACAAAAATCATAAGTTTATTATTTCAATTTTATCAAGGACAAGGCAGGTAACCTTCACCTTTACCAGGAATTCAAGCATATAGCTGTCCTTGTCACATACTCACATGGCATGAAACTTTTAACATGCTAACAAAGCTCCAAGCTAAAGATGAAGAAAAAGGAACCTAGCACATTGACATAAAATGCCATCAAAACATTTGGCATGGTGTCATCACACCTTTATTCTGAGTTTTTATTTGATAAACATATTGATAAATTAAATAATTAATTTTTACCAGTCCATTTGATAAATTAATTATGTAGTTAAGTTCTGCATGTCAGTAGTAGCAGGGGGAACCCAGGACCTTCAAGAGTTGGAGGAATTTTTAGGAAGGAGACAGGTCACATCTTAAACTAATTTTCAGGCCCAATTGGAGTAGGTCACTCAGTAAGGGCTGTACTGAAGGGAGAACAAAGAACAAGGGATATGAACATAAACAAATTGCTGATTGAAAGGGACTTACAACTTGTAATAGGGTGGATACAGAATAGAGAAGGAGAATTTTGGATGTATAGGAATGAAATGAAAAGATTCGAGTGGCTAACAAGGAGCACAGAAGTTAAATTCCAACGGGTACACAAGAAGCAAATTGTATGGCCCATCTTTTAGCAAAACAAGCGGTTGGGTGAGAACAAATTATTTGGGCACTGTTCTAAACTAAAAATTGAGCAGGTTGGAAATAAGTAACTTTATCTCCTTGTATTCTGTATATTTGTACACCTCTCCTTATTTTCTTTTAATAAAGTTGCAAAGGTATACATAAAAAAAAAGTGCATGTCCGGTATGCTCAATCCTATAACATAACAACTTACAGGGAAGAACTGAAAGGAAAAAAAGTCAACAGAAATAAAGTGATATTCTAAGCGGATATAATTATTCTTTTTCTCTTTTTATTTCATTACATTATGGAAGTATGGAATGAAGCATGCAAGATGATAAGAGGCAAAACAACTAGCTAACCTTAATAAGATTTAATTAAATCATTAGTTAATACAGACATAAAATGAAGCTGAAATTTTCTTATCTTTCTTCCACCATAACATCATTCTGGTTAAGGAAATTGAATTTGAAATTGGGAAACACCCCAACACACACAAATTATCCAAAGGTAAGATGGTAGAATGATGAAGATGCTTTAGTTGACAATGTCGTAACAAAATTCTACTTGGATTTCTTGGAAGGCTAACCTCATGAATGGATGAATTGAAGAATTTCAACACACACAACTGATTTTCTATTTATTCAATCAATTTGTTAAAAGGAAAGATACTCAAATAAAAAACAAGACTTGGTTCACAAACGCTTCATATAAGAGTGAGCACCCAATGTAGCAGCACCTATGTCCAATAAATAAAAATAAAGATTGCATAAAGCATTTATCAGCATATGGTGCTAAAGACCCAAATAATAGTTACCTAAGATTGAACTCATGAATGTATAATAAGATGAACTGATTTGCTACATATGGCACACAGAAGGAAACTCTAGATGTATTTTTATTAAGAAAGTCCCGATTTCTTCTTCAGAGATCAAGCAGAAATTATGAATAACAAAGAGTAAATTGAAATGCAAAATAGATTCACCTGAAGCATGCGCCAGAACGAGCCCCTCCACGGCCCATGATCTGGACTTGCAACTGACGAAACAGTCCCCTGAAACCATGTCATCCTAGACGAATCTTCTGTCTCCACTGCCATTTTAACCCTCATACCAACCATCCAAATTATATTGAGGGATTCCTCTACCGCCTCCGCCTTAACCACAAAATCCGGTGAACCTGCCCTCGGATAATAAACAACCTCAAAAGGCCTGTTTACTCCTGCTAATTCAGCAGCCTCTACTACAGATTCAGCTGGAACCCTGCCCCTGCTGCTCCTCGAGAACCCCTCTCCACTTCCAAACCCCTCTTCCATTTTCACAATGGGAGAAGCCACAGACCCGACATGATAATTCCACCGAACACAGTCCATACTGCCGCTTGACCTTGCAGTGCGCCTTACCCCAACAAAAAGCTCTCCAGTTTGGTTCTTCATAAAAACCACTGAATCTCCAGCAACAAGCTTCTTATGATTAACGAACTTACTCCACCCAGTCGTCAACAAATGCCGACGCGGCGTCCCACGGTAAATGTGCCGGAAATCCCACATCACACCATGAACATCTGTCACTGTAATCGTCTGTACTGGTGGCTCCGCCTTGTAGTTCAGTGGGGGAAATATTGAATCTGCACAAAACCTGGGAACCGAAAACCCACCTCCATTGTTTGCATCGCTTGGCGTCAGGATCTTCGAGAACGACAAAATCTTTTCCTCAGAATCTTCAACGTCACCGTCCTGCGACAATCCCGCTGCAACCGGCGGCATACGAACCATTCCGGAAAACGATCGATCCAGCGGTTCAAGACGTATTTTTGCAAAAACCTCATCAGTATCAGGATTCGCCAGGAACATAACCGACACGATTCTGCACAGAACCATGTGCCTGACGCAGGCCAGAGAACTAAAATCTGGAGAAGAAGAAGCCTGCTCCGCATGGCCTTGCGGGAAGTAGTAAACCGTGGAACCGACGGTGGGGATTTCGACAGAGTTTCCAGCGCAGGCCTTCCATATGTAGGGATCGAGGCTGCGGAGCTCACTCACCCTCTGCAACGCCATTGCTAGGGTTTGTGTCACAGCTCAGAGATCTGCCGTCGAGAGAAAAATGAGATCTCTTTTCGTGAGGCTTCCTCGATTCAATCCGGTTCTGATTCGATCTCTCTTTGCTGTCACTCTTGTCTTCTGTTTTATAAGAGAGCTCAGACTTCAGGGAGTAGAACAATAGAAGAAGAGAGACGAAATCACGAAAGGACTCGATAAGAGAAGAACTAGAGAGAGAGAGAGAGAGAGTGGACAGTGCCGTCTTGGGGTCGGAGAAGGGGCACAGAAGCAAAAGCGGAGGGAGACCAATGAATTTGCCCTCACTTTTATACCCAAATTACACTTTTGTCCATACACTCAGTAAGCTCATCCGCTCTGCGGACTACTGTAATCAGTGTTACGACGTCGTAAATTCCAATCAAAGAGTTCAGATCATCAACATTGGTCCTGGAGTACAACATTATTGTACTACTGAAAGCTTGAAAAAATCTGTCGATTCACCTGACCAAATTACCCTTTTCCGGCCCGGAATTGTTGGGGTCCGGGTGGTTTGTTTGTTATTAACTAGACTTCATTTATGCAAATTTCAGAGCGAATTAATAAGTTAATTACTGCTTCCTTATCCCCAAACACTGAACTCCAGTCCACGCGTCAGTCGATTAGTTGCATTCTAACTTCTCAGTCCAGTGGGCCCACAGCTAGTGAGACAAAAGGGCATCATAAGACGGGATTCCGCCGTTGGATCGGAATATGGCGGGTAAACATCTGAAAGATGGGAGAGAGAGATAGACTGGGGGAAAGGTTCAGTGTACTGTTTCATCGTGGACAAGAGACTTTTGCAGTTACTTTCTTTCCCTAATTGATTTCCATAAATCCGGTTTTGACTAATAGAGAGGTAAGGAGTTAAAGACAGATTAATCGACTAAAGTGGCAGTCGGTCGTCTGATTTGAAAAATGAACGGTGATTGGGGATCGGACTTTGGACAATCTTTGGGTGGGTAGACCCCACCAGACAGAGCCAGGTTGTGTTTGTTGTTTGTATATTCCTGGTGGGCCCTGCTGCGAGTCCCGAGTCAATGACAGGGATAATTGATTGTCCAAGGAAGATCTATGTGAAGTAGGTTTGGAGTATTATTAAAAAAGGGATTTTGGAGAGCGACACATTATGGGGCAATGTCATCCAGTAGGACCAGTACTATCCAATTAACATGATTGGGCCCACAAGCCTTTTGATTTTGAAAGGATTGGAAATTTTTGACCGTCGGATTGGGACTCTGGTAGGAGAGTAGCGAGTGATGTGGCATGACATGTGGGTCCCTGGGTCCCACCGCCTCAACTGCTGGATGCAAGTGCATGTAGAGCAACAGGAACTGACATTGTCGGATCCGAATAGATGGCGTGGCAAGATTAAATAATCTTGACCCGTGATATGATAAATTAATAAAATATTCTGGCAGAGAGAAAGAGAGAGAGGAGGGCCCGACCATGACGTCCAAGAAAGAAACGACAAAGGACAAACCCTCTATTTAGCTTGCTTTTCCCCTTGGGGTCTGTTTGCTTGGTCACCAATAGTAGGGGCGGTGACCTGTGCACATGGGTTACAGTTGAATAGGTAGTTATGTCCGTTGGGATTAGCCAAGCCCGAAACCAAAAGGACTGGCCGGTTTTCCAAGAATGTCCGGTTTCTGCCCTGCCTAGGCCGGTTCAGAACTTTATGGGCAGGGGCCGCCACCCGCCAGGGGCACAGGGCACTGTTATAAAATCATGGTTCACCCGGTTTGAGTAAAGTAGTCAAAGAGTGAATATCAACAAATCAGGCGGTTCATATTGATTGAGAAATTGGGTATTAGTATTGAAAATGGCGGTGAGTCAAGGTGAGGTAAGCATGTGGGATATGTTTATGAAGCAAAGACCCTGAAATTCATGAATCTCTGTTGGGTTTACAAAAGAAGAATTCCTTCTTTCTTGGGCCGGGCCCACCCTCGGGTAAGGGCTTTTGTTTGTATTTGGACGGTCAAACCGACTCAGATCTCGACGAAACACGTGTGGTCTACGGCAAGAAAATGAGGAAAGTAAACATGGAGGGTGGTCGTCTCCAGTTCCCTAGATGCCTTGGTTGAAGACATGCCAACCTTAGCCCAGTCATTCTGGAATCTGGATAGGATGAGTCTGGACCAACTCATTTACGTCTCCACGTGGGACCCACTTGATGGCCCACTCGGCCCTGTTCTTCTCCTTCTTGACTTTTTCTTTGAGTAAGAAAGGGTAGCTCCGCTGTGGGGCCCCGGCCCATTTTACGGATCTTGAATCCAAACCCATGCGGCCATGCTTTTGAATTTATAAGATAGAAACAGACAGCTGGATGTGGGCTCCACCCCCCTCCCCCCTAATTCTTCTCCGAATAGGAAAGGAGTTGGAAAGTAATGGCCTATGGACCCAACCCATTATACGGATGGTGGGCCCCAGGTCCACTTTTGCAATTATAGAAATCCATTGCTGGGGTGAGTCTATTTTGTACGATTGTTGCATTCCGTTCTGCCTGCATTTTTAATTAATAAACCGGGGGTGTTTGGAATATATCAGGGTCCTTTTGGAATTGTCTTCACTCCATCCGTGGAGGTGGAGTCAAAAGACTAATGTTAAGAACCGGATGAGTCTGGCATCACGTGTGTATGTTCTTTCATCAGTTTAAGTTGTCTTTTGTCCCTTTGCTACTATCAACCCTATGACAATTGGGCCCACCCCATCTCTCTCTCTCTCTCAGACCCACCGATGTAAACCATGGATTGACCCGGTCCGACCATCTGGCCAGCCATTTTATATGAAGAAATAACGGAAGCTTAATATTATTATCATTAATGAATGCTTTGACCAAATTATATCGTGACTTCTGTGTTTTGGAGGAGCTGCCACAGAGAAATCGCTCAGGTTGAGCAGATTTGCCCGAATAAGCTACTTAGATGAGCTTCATCTTAAAGTTAATAAATGGCGTTTCGAAAGTTGATTTAAGCTTTTTTTTTTTTTCACCAAACATAACCTATTCGCTTTTCATATGGGGCCCACCTCTGCCTGAACTGGGTACTTTTCAAATGAAATCAAATCAGCCCCCACAAGATTGTTCCCACAACGTCCCACAATACATTCCCGCGGTGTATTGAGAACATCTTCCGATGATGACATTATCATTTTTGGTATTACCATTGGGAGATGTTCCCAATACATGGCGGGAATGTACTGTCTTACGTTATGGGGGGGGGCAATCTTGTGAGGGACTGATTTGAACTCCTTTAAAATCCAACTTTAGGGTTGCACAGGGTGGTGGGTTAACTGATCCAGCCTGGTCTAGATTTAGTACTTTTTTCCCCTAAAACCGAACTGGGATCTGCTCCTCACATAATGCTTCTCACACCGATCTCACAGCCTCATCCCATCCTGTATTGTGAACATCTCCCGTGAATAATAAATTCAAAGATGAAAGATGTTCTCAATGTATAACAAAGACATGCTGTGATGTTGGTGTGAGACTCACAGTGTGAGGAGCAGATCCGGATGGCCCAAAACCAGAATTTGATTTTTTTCTTTGAATTTCTTTCCACTTTCCTTGTATTTTCTTTTATTTCCTATTTCTGTCTTCATAAAACAAATAAGGCCCGACAGGCCAGCCTGAGTTTTTGAAGAAGGAAAAGGCATAAAGGTGGCAAGCCAGATCATTTTTCATTGCAGGATAAGACCTTGTGGTCACACGATGGGCCATCTTTTTAGGTGAAACCTAACATCAGAAAGGGATTACTGAAATGATATTTTCACTGTATGGCATGGGTTTGGTTTGAACATGGAGCCCAAGGGGCTGTTTGATAACAGCTGAAGTGACTGAACAAAACCGCTTATGGATCTATCTTTCGAGGGTCTGTTTGGAAGGGCTGAATTGAAGGAATAGACTAAGTCGGTTCAGCTGATATGAAAAGTTCCAAAAAAGTTATTTAGGTGGTGTTCTTTTTCTGGATTTTGAAAGGGGGGAAAGTTGGTTAATGGGATTTTGATTCCCATTGACCAAAAATCCCATATTCTTTTTTTAGATTTATGTGGGAATCAGGGAAAGTTTATTTTCCTATGTATCATTCATTTCCTAGGTGGATAAATAATTTTTTCATATTAGGAGAAAGTTGACACACTTGAATGCAACAAAAATATCCCTTGTAATAAAGGATTTTATGACTAAAATGGTCATTGTGTTATTTGCATGGGAAATAAAAAAATATGAGTAAATATATTTATCCAGATAAATATTTACCAGAAAAAAACTTACTTGAATAAATACATTTACCCAAATAAATAACTTACCACAAAGCGAACAAACCAACTAACTTGGATATTACCCTGATAAATGCATTTACCCGAATAAATAAATTATGGAGGGCAATCTTGTAAGGACCAAATCCACATATAATTGAATTTGGATTGATTACCATTTTATTGTTTAATAATATTTATTTATTAAAAACAAAACAATAAATTATCCAATTCAGCTGAACTAAGGACATTCATTCGTAACATCACAAATAAATTAGAAATAAATTATTCACTAAAGACAATATGACAAGTCATTTCAATTCAGCTGTTATCAAAGGGCCCCTAATGCCCATAGCCGCAACCTTTGGTTTTTCTGAAGTGGGCCCCACAAAAATAGCTCATAAGATATATTTGGTGGAAAAAATCTGGAGAGCCAAAATCAGCTGTCAATCATTCAATTGAAGAGCAGTCTACTTCAGTATCCCAAACGGCCTCCTTACCTCATTCCTCAGTGGTCAAAGGCTCCAATCCAGCACCCTGAAATTCATCAATCTCTGTTTGCTGCAAACACAAAGAAATCCTTCCTTGGTAAAAAGTTTTTATTTGTTTTTTGGTTGGGTCAAACTCCACTCGGATCTCAATGAAACACGTGAGGTCTACCATGAAGGCTGAAGAGAGAGAGAAAAAAACGGGTCATGGTAGCCCGCTTCCCGAAATCTAGGTTGTAAAAAATGAATCAAACTTGAACCAGCCAATTTAGGAAAGGAAAATAAAATAATCGCAAGAAACCAGAGTAAATCCAATAAACTCGGGCCTCAACGTCCCGTCAAGGGCTAGTATGTTGGAAACATAGCAGCGTTGAAGGCAGGGTCCTGGCCTGGGTTACAGCGCCCGTGGTTGCTGTCTAACGTCACTTGCCATGTGTAGTTAATATGGGTACTGTCATTAAATGCTGGATTGCAAGTGATCCGGAGTTCACATCTGCTCTCG